CCTTAGATGGGCTCAGGGTTGGGGTGTGTGGAGTGGTGCAGGAATGTTATTGCTGGGGATGTGGGAGTGCAGGAGTCTGAGAATGTGGGGGTATGAGGGCCTCATGGCAAGGGGTTCAGGTTTATGATTGTCTCAGGGTTGGTGAGTAGGGGGTACAGGAGTGTCCTGACGCTGTGGCCAGATGGGGCTGGACCCCAACTGGGGCTTGTTGGCCAGGCTTCATTTTTAAATAAAGTATTATGTCCAACACACAATCGTCTTTCTTTATGGCAGAAGTAGGGAACCGTTTTTGTGTTGGGGGCCACTGACCCACAGAAAAAGCAGTTGGGAATCACACAAAAGTAAGAAGCAAAACAGAAGGAAAAAAAATCCTCCAGAAATCTCCAACCCTCACAGAAGTGGCTCCCAGCTGAAATACCTCACATTCAGTCTGGTGGTGGTGGTGGGGCGGGGGGGTTGAGATTCAAGGCCTCAGGCCAGATTTACTCTTTTGGGGTTCCATTAACCTTGAGGGGTTAAGTGTGTGTGACAGGGCTGCCAGTGAATGGATTAGGGTAGGGGATTAAGGATCTGAGCAGGAGGTGGGGTGTAGGAGGGAGGTGAGGGTGTGAGATCTGGGTGGGAGGTGGGGAAGCAGCAGCCTGGCTACTGCCAGGAGGCAGGAGCGGACTGGCAGCAGGCTGTCTGGCCACGGGGCAGGGGACAGCAGTAGGCTGTGGGGACAAGGTGTCTGGCCAGGGGACAGGAGTGGGCTGGGGCATCTGACAAAGTGGGTCTTTGCCCACAAAAGCTTATGCTCCAATAAATCTGTTAGTCTATAAGGAGCCACAGGACTGCTTGTTGCTTAAACCACAGTTAGTAGTTCTGCAATTTCACATTTGAGTTCTTTTAGAATTTTTGGGTGAATGCCATCAGGTCCTGGTGACTTATTACCTTTCAGTTTTATCAATTTGTTTCCAAACCTCCCCTACTGATACTTCAATCTTGGACAGTTCCTCAGATTTGTCACTTAGAAAGAATGGCGTATGTTTGGGAATGTCCCTCGTGTCCTCAGCTGTGAAGATCAATGCCAAGAATTTATTTAGTTTCTCTGCAATGACCTTATAGTCCTTTGGTGCTTATTTAGCATCTTGATTGTCCAGTGGCCCCACTGGTTGTTTAGAAGACTTTATGCTTCTGATGTACTTGAAGAAAAATTTGCTATTAACTTCTGGAATTTTGGCTAGCTGTTCTTCAAATTTCCTTTTGGCCTTCCTAATGAAATATTTACAGTTCATTTGACAGTTTATACTCCTTTCTATTTTCTTCACTTAGATTTAACTTCTGCTTTTTATATTATGTCTTTATCTCACTGCTTCTTTTACTTGATTGTTAAGCCATGGTGAAACTTTTTTGGTTCTCTTACTATATTTTTTTGAGTTGGAGTGTATATTTAAGTTAGGCCTCTGTTACGGTGTCTTTGAAAAGTTTCCATGCAACTTGCAAGGATTTCACTTTTGGCACTATACATTCTTCATTTTTTTGTAGCTCTCCTTTCTGAAATTAAATGTCACAGTATCAGGCTGCTATGATGTTTATCCGTCCACAAAGATGTTACATTTAATTATATAGTATGGTTGCTATTTTCAAGTGGTCCAGCAATAGTAAATTTTTGGACTAGATCCTGTGCTCCACTTAGGACTAAATCAAGAGTTGCCTCTCCTCTTGTGGGTTTAGTCCAGCTGCTCCTGGGAGCCGTCATTCAAAATGTCAAGCAACTTTATTTCTGTATCCTGTCCTGAGGTGTTTCTTGTTGGAGATTTGTTTAAATTATTGTAAAGCTAACTGATATGCGTAAACTGCTGTTTTAGGGTGTGAAGAGAAAACGTTATTGCATTTTAACAAACTTTTTATATTTTATTAGTAACTTTGTGTTTTCATATTTCCAGTGGGAGCCGTCATTCAAAATGTCAAGCAACTTTATTTCTGTATCCTGTCCTGAGGTGTTTCTTGTTGGAGATTTGTTTAAATTATTGTAAAGCTAACTGATATGCGTAAACTGCTGTTTTAGGGTGTGAAGAGAAAACGTTATTGCATTTTAACAAACTTTTTATATTTTATTAGTAACTTTGTGTTTTCATATTTCCAGTTACAAGGAAAGATCGTGACTACTTATATTTCTACAAAGGATTATCACACTCTTGGCTGTCTGAATTTTGTGATTAGAGTCTTTAT